AGCCTTCAGTTCTGGCCCAGCAGTGTAGTGCGCGTTTACTACTTGTGGTCTGCGTGTGAGAATGGAGTCAGAAAGACGGCTTTCGTTACAGTGACTCTTATTGTCGAGTTAAGCTTTTTAATTTGGGTTTGCATTTCGACAAGAAGAGATGCTTCACTTGGCGGCTCTTCAACACCCTTGTCACTGGACACCGTAGTAATGAAGGAAAAGCCCGTTTCGGGGGTGAATTTTTTTAGGTTTCGTTTCTTTTTGGCTTGCAAGATGATGTCTTGTGTTCTGTCTTAATATTTCTGATCCACTGTGCTAATGCTAAACCCTAATTAAAATAGAGGGTGAATTTGGTCAACTAGTTGCGAACGCTGTCGTTTGGCCAGGTGGGCTTCCATGTGCTGTTCAGGTGGCATTTTTAGTAAGAAGTTCCAAATACAGATAAGGTATTTATCGCTGACTTTATTGACTCGATATCGCACTTATTGTTCTGATATTCCTGGTTAGATCTGCAGAACTGGGGTGAGTTGTCCTTGCACTCGGTGTTTCGACAGTCGGACCCTAATTCCAACAATCCTGTGAAGTATTAACTTTCGGTTGGTCTGCGTTCATTGTTCGGTAATTTAATTCTACACTATCTGATATGCCAAATTCTGCGCCTGATATTGTTTGAACCGGAACGGGTCATTATGTTACCGAGTCTTAACTAATGCAAGTAACTAAGCTTTGCTTAAGTTAAACGTCCGTTTTCCATTCATTCTGATTAAGTGTTGTCTCTCGTTGGTGGAGCTTTCTTAATAGATGAGCATTTATATTACATTTTTAATCTTGGGGACGTGGGGCATTACGGCTTGTAGACATTCTTTTGAAAATTGTTTATTTTCTTCTAAGCATAAGCATTATGGCTTTACTAACGTTATCAGCATCACCGTCTGAGAGTTATAATATGAGCCAAGGCGCTAGTTGATGTTTGCTTTGTTTGAATTGGTGCGATCATATGGTCGGAGTTGGAATATTTCTTATTTAGGTGGTTAGAACATGGGTGCGTTACTTGCGTTAGCGCTTCTGGGTTACACTGAGAGCGTACTATTTCCCCTACAATAGGGAATAGATGCTGCAGATGTTACACTTTGAACCTCTATTTACAAACGGATGCAAAAGGTTGCCGACTTGAGACTGAGCTGTAGATGTTCGGTTTATAAAATATCTGTCTCTACGGCAATATCATTATAAGTCGTTTCGACTTAGGCAGTAGGCATTTTACGGTTTCTCGATGGACGCACCTTCATCTAATCTGGATGGCTGTTTGATGCTAACGTATTCACTTTGAGTCCCAGTTTCCATGCATTTGGTAGTATTGCTAGTGTATCAAGCGGTTGGATCTTCCAAACTGTGTACGGAAGCTTCGAATGTGCCACTACTGATGAAGGCAGCGCGAGTCAAACACTTTTGCATTCAGGTTTTAAAGCAGTTCAAGATCTGGATGCATTATCCACCCACTGAAGAGAGAGTCTGACACACTTGTATCCAGAGTCCTGATGATTAATACCGGTCATTTCCAGCCTCGCTATAAGTGGGGTGATCTTAGCTATTGTTCTTTATTTTCATTAAATCCAACGATTGAAGCAGTTATTCAAGGGAAAATAAAGAGAACGCAAACTAGAAAAGATGCTTCATTGAGGTATAAAATATAAAGGACTACCTACTAAAGTAATCCACGTCTGTTTTAATGTCCGCTGCGCATCTAGATCGCGTGTTCTCGAAGTCACATTTAAGACGTTTTTGCTTTTGCCTTTGATTGCAAAACCATACACGCACAACACTTTTTGGTAGGCCTAGCAATGAGGCAATTCGGGCGACCCTCTCACTAGACGGCTGCGGCTGTACTGCAAAGTACCCCTCCAGAGCTCTGCGCTCACTATCGGTGATGCAGGTTCTTTTTCGCCGACTCTGCTGTAAACTGGGGACGTTCTGTGCAGGGGAGACGGACATATCATGAAATTGTGAACTCCTGTTGGCTACTCCCATAGCCTCTGCCCTATCCAGCCAGATTTGGAGTAGTGGACGGAGAGCGATCATGTTTGTGCGGGAAAGAGTGAGGGACTCGAACCGACAGATTGTGGATTGGGAGAGGCTCTCAACTCCAGGAATCATCATAGCACCGAGAGCTTTTCCCACGTCTGCCTGCGTGGCTCCAAGTTTCATTCGACGCTGTTTGAAGTGCTCGGCAAAGAGTTCAAGATCGCTATCTGGAAGGGAGGTGCTCGGCTGTGGAAGAGCTGTGGAAGAGCTGGGTATGATGTGGTGGAGTGGTATCATCTGAGTTGGGTCCCACTGCCGCAAATGTTGAATATTGGACTTGTCATCAGCCATCCACTGAGACTGCGTTGTGGAGTAAGAGTAGGTGCTGCAGTCAGACATAGAGAACGATGGCCAATAGAGGTTACCACATTGAGATTGTTCGCTCCTCGTCTCGTCTTGGGAAACCTGTTCAAAACCTGCTTCTGATGATGTGTAGAAACAGTCCTGAAAAGTGTAAATTGGTGTTTTCCGTATTGAAAAGACGAATAACCTTAGATCACGCTTAGCTTATGGTTTTTAAATAAATGCGAAAGAGCAAAAAGCATATTCTGGGCTTCGATTTTAATGGTTAACTCAAAGGTCGCATATCTAACACCTCAATTAACTAAAATAAGGTAGGGAAATCCAACCACTACGAAACGGTCAGCTAAATTGTGAAGAGAAGTTCTTTAAGCTAAGGCCAGCTCTGGTGCTCTAAGCAATCACATGGTAGAGGGCTTTCGTATCCAATTTCGTTCATTAAAATGAGCTGATAATTGTTGAGTTAGACTACAAAGCATGGTATGGACCATTTAAGATGCTGGATTTCATTGGAAGTGGCCATCTCACCTGCATTTCAACGGGTCAGGAAAGCGAATGCGACGTGGTGAACGTGCGACCGTACACATGAAATCCATTGGCTCATCGTTCACAATAGTGGACGGGGGACCTGTACACTCGACTGCCATTGGTCAAATATCCGTGTTTAGTAGCGTGTGCGTAGTTTTACGCTGAAGTTTCAGTAGTTAATAATATGGTTTAATAAAGCTTTAATAGTTGGAAGATAAGATTGCGCTTACATTTTTCAGCAGAAATTAATTGGCTAATTAGTCTTCAAAAAGCAGTTTAAAAGTATTCCACCTGAGTTCGCATAAATTGCTACATTGCGCGTGCTCGTTGGCTAGAGACTCCCCCGCAAACGAAACCCCAAATTATTTTTTTCTATGTTTACAAGCAGCACCCATAGACTTAAGTCAAAGGATGTTAATTGGCCTAGACCAATTCGCTTTAG